TGTTTCTTGAAAGCTAATTTTGATGTGGTATTTCTAAATACTAATAAGTTTTTATCTTTTTTCTTCTTCTTCAGAAAAGCAGAAATCCACTTAGGCACTGGAAATGGAAGCCATTCACTGAATATTTAAAATGCAGCCTTTTGAAAAAAAAAAAAAAAAGAAAATATAGCTTTATATAGTTTTGTCTAGTTGAACCTCTTTCATAAGCACCATTCAATTTTCATCTTCAATGAGAATAATTAAAGGACAAAGTTGCATCTACAAATTTATTCTAAACCTTTTAAATTAGATCTATTGAAGTGATAGTGTTTTTTTAATCTTGAAAACATGTTTGAAAAGGGTGCACAGACTTACATTACATGCTTTACTGTGATAATCTTAATTCTTACTGAAAGTAGAACCAACAATTCCAGAAAATAATGGCAAAATAATGGTTTTCCAATTAAAGCCATTAAACCAATAAAACCATCCAAACCCAAAACAATGGTTTTCTAATTAATGGCAATAAAAAGCCAGTCCTGTGAAAATTACATCTGATAATGTTAATGTACCCAGGCCATGTACCCTGTTAGGAATGACATTTGTCCTTGACGAACCCCCTTGCTGCTGTAAATCTGGGTTATGCTCAAGGGAAAAAAAATCCCTATAAGAAGTAATCCCAAGGGTTTGTATTTCTTGTGCATGGAAATTCCTACAGGAGTAGACCAAGAATTTGGCCCCCCAAAAAAGGAAAGACCAGATCTGGACTTGAGACAACTGAGTGTGACACAGAGGAACAGAGTTGTCCCTGGCTGTTGCAAAGGTGCCCCCTGCAAAGCTGACACCTGGTTTAAACTCATCTTTTGGGGCTTGATCACTACTGTGTATTATTTATTTTCCCAGTATTACCGCTCTGAGCCCTCAGGTGGAAACCTGGCCCCGTAGCACCTGTCAGAACAGTCCCAGATTCCCTGTGGAATCTGGTTTCCAAAAGTACTGAACAGGGATAGGGAAAGTCAGCAGCTACTGGGGGTGCTTGGAGGCCCTTCTGAGCCTCTCTCTGTGGCTTTCATAGTGGGCACTTCATCACTGAAACACTTAAAACCTACAAATTCTCTGCTTAAAAAGAAATTGTCACCAGAAGAAGAATAACACAATACCCATGTGCTTAGCAGTGATATTATACAGAAAAGCAGTGTTCAGATTCCTGAGACCCTCGAGCACTGTGACAACAAAAGTCACACACATAGGAAAAAAAAAACACTGCGAGGAAAATAAATACTCCTGTTCTGCCCCAAAATAACACAGAGTAAAGTAGGTCTGGAGCCACAACACCCAGAAATGCGGAACAGCTGCCCCACGCTCTGGGTACCACAGGCCTATACGCACAATTCATCCAGGTTGCTGTCGGAGGCGAGCATCCTATGGCAAAAACAGCAGGTGGTAACTGTGAGTACAAGGTAACGTCCTTAGTGACTGCTTTGTGAGGCATCTATACAGGCAGACACATCAAGAGAGGTCCAACAGCTACAGCAAGGCTGAACAGCAAGGCTGAGCAGCAAGGTTCCTAACTTGGGGGCTTTGCCAGTTTAATGATTTTATTAGCTCTTTTAAATAGAAATAAATTGTATAAAATAGAAATAAATTGTATTCAACTAAACCTTAAATCTAAACCTTAAATCTAAATCTACTACTTTTTATAGCATCATGCAGAATTACCTGTGTTCTTATTAACAGATCAAATTAAAAAAATGCATTATTTTAATAATTTTAATAATTTTAATAATGTATTATTGATAAAATGAAATACTCATTTAGACCATCCTCACCACACCTGCTAACAAAGCATAGAACTTTCTTTTAATGTATCAAACATTAGATTTCTTCTCAACATGAATTCAATAAACAATACATCCAATATACGCCTAACTTGATATTTTCCTTAGAAAATAAGAAAGATGAAAGTAAATATGCTGTGTAATAGCTGCTGCAAGAAGTGAAAACATTCACAACGATACTACATTTGCATATTACTGTTCAGATAAAATTATTTAAATATTTATATTAAGGACTATTTCTCAGTTCTGCACTGATGTTGTATTTCCTTGATCTATCTAAAAACTTTCTGGTGTAACTGTGAGCGCCAAGACATCTATGTCTTTAAAAAAGCTGACTTGTACACAGACTTTATTGCTTAAAGGACTATTTTGCTAGTAAGAACTTACTCCATTATCTTACTGAGGAATAGTTTTAAGCCAGAGAAATCTGTTTTCAGACTAAGTGGTTATCTCCTTTACAGGAATTTACCAAAATAGCTCCGTCATTGGCACATCTAAAGTTGGACATCTAAAGTTGGACAAAACTGTAAACAAGGCTATAAAGTGATGTCTGAAGTCTGCTTAGGCACCACTGTAGCCTTTTCTGATGCTCAATGGTTTGAGCTCTTGTGCCTCAAAAATTACACCAAAGATGGAAAGATCATTTTAACATGTAGTTTTGAGAAGTGAGGCAGTAATTTCCTGGGAAGGAAAATGAAAGCAGCAAAGTCAAGTTTCAATTACTAGAGGCATGAGACACGAAGACTGGCAGCTGGTGAGCAACCCCTTGTGTTTAGCTGCTGAACTGTCTCTCTTGGCCCCATCTAGGAGTTACTGAGTATTTTTTCCACTCTCGTAACCTCACTGATGAATAGGATTACTTCTTCAAGATCCATGTATTCCTAAAAGAAGTATTCGTTCAGATATGAATAAAAATAATACTTGTCCAGGCTTATCTGTCCTAATGCTCTAATACTTTAGGTGCTTTTTTGTCCATACTTTCATGTTCATCTTCAACAGCACTTTCAAGTCCCCATTCACTATTGAATTGGGTCGTTTAGCCGGTCTCTGCTGCAGGGCCTTCTGTGCAGGCGAAGCGGCGCCGCCAGAGGCAGCAGAGATGCCTGAAAGGGCAGTTGCGAGAGCTGCACGAGCAGTATCTATCTACAGTAGCGGCCTGTTCAATACATCCATGTATTACAGTACCCTAGTGATATCATTCTTTAGGTCCATTACTATGCAAATAAAGTTAAACCACCATTTTTTCCCCCCAGTCTGTAAAACAGAGTTTTCATTCAATTTATTGAGGTGGGAAAAGTCCCAGAATGGTTGAGGTTGGAAGGGACCTCTAGAGATCATCTAGTCCAGATGGATTTGGAAGATCTCCAGAGAAGGAGATTCCACAACCTCTCTAGAGATTTTGTCCCAAAGGATGTAACAAGAAGTGTGGCCATCAACAGCCTTATGAAATTCATTAGGAATTAATGCAAATGGCAAGGGACTCCATGATTCTATGAATTTCCATTGAAAGCATGATGGAAAAAATCAGTTTCCTAATGCTCAGTTTGCTGTCAGAAATGAAAATCCATCTTTCCTTATGTTTCCTTATAATGCCATGGTCATACATAAATAGCCATGAACAACCTCCCTTGGGACTGTCACCCGCTCTGCCCATGTGTCTGGTGGCACCTTATGAGCACAGGCCTGGACCTTCAGTTCCTCTCTGACTCACATTGTAGAGGAGGTCAATAAATGTATTAATAAACCAAGAAACACACACAATTCTGTAACCTATGATCCCATCTTTCATCTTGAAAACCAGATACACTCAGACATATTCAGATCACTCCAAATGTGCCTTGGCTATTGCTTATGTGTGGAAAATCTCACTGTCAAGAACTGAATGTCCAAAAAGGAGACAGAGGAGACCTAAAACTATTTGAATAAAGGGGGAGTCCACCTGGCACATCCCTGTGGAGTCTCTCAAGTTGCTGGAGGTCGCAGTCCCCTTTTTATCCTCATTTCCAGACCGAGGGCCCCTCTCCTTTTCCCCATTGCCCAGGGTACTCAGGAGTTTCAGCCTTCCTGGCCATCCGCACCCAACTCCCTGCCTCCCTCCATGTGTTCTCAGCCATCCCAAACTTGTGCGTGTTTTCTGCTCACTCGGCTGCAAAATCCAGCTATTTCTTTGACTGTTTTTACTGTTCACAGCTGCGCAGTGGCTTGTGTTCGCTTAAATAAATGTTAAAAATCCACCAAATAAGCAAAAACGATTTTCGAGCTTGAATCTCTCTGTTCAGCTACCCACGCAGGAGCAGCCTGTGCCTGGTACAACAACCTGCGGACAATTCCGATAAGAGAACACGGCCCTTTCATAATTAATAAATGCATTTAAAATTTTATATATATGTATATATATATATATGTATATGTTGTGGTGGGGTAAAACCGCAGCCGCTCGCTGTATCCAGCCGCTCTAATGGCCGCCGCTCCCGCCCCGCTCGCTGCCCTCTCACGCCCGCCCCTTCCC